CCCCAAAACCCCAAAACCCCAAAACCCCTTCAGGTATATTATCAAAGGAGTACATTATTATTGATTAAAATTATATCTAAAGATGATAATCTACATCATACTTTTAGCAATGATTCTATCATTCATATTTATTACCAAGCTATCTGGATAAAAGATATAGGAAGAAAAGAGGCAAAAATAAGAAGAGCTGAAAAAGGAAGAATAAAAGAGCTCGGAGAAGTTGAATGAGAAAACTTAATAAAAATAAGCAGAGTAGAATCATACCAGTTTTAAGTAATTGAAAACCCAAAGTAAAGGAGGAAAAAAGAAGGTAAAAGGTGGGAATAATCCAGAGCATGAAAACTATGTAGCTGGATTTAAAGGATTCAATTCATCAGTTGTTGATTTTGACTATTACGATTTCGGAAATGGTACAGTGTTATTCATTGTTGCTGAAGAGGTAAGTGCAATATCTAAAATTATCATTAACCAATAAATATCTTTAGAGTTCAGTGATTAAAGCAGTATATTCTAGAAATATCTAAAATGAAAGTGAGTATATCCAGTAGTTACAAAAGTTACAATCTGGCTAGAATATTTTGTCTGTATCTTTGGGACCATCCAGAGTCACAGATTCAAAAAGTTTCACGTAAAATCATATCATTATGTTTATATGATTATAGAATGATAGTAGCTGTAGCAATATTCGACCACTGCTCAGTAGTTCTTCATGAATTATCATTTTAAAACGACCAAATCAAATTTACTAATTTGAACAGAGCACTTTCAAATATTCATAAAATTCCAGTCAAAACAATCAGACTTAGTAAGAAGCAACCCAACTTGATGGTATCTTGTGGTGATGAGTCGGATGTAACAATTAAACTTTGGAATATCAGTACATCTTCAAGTGAGCCAATAACTCAAATCTCAACCAGCTAGATTAAGCACAAATATATGACTCAGGGATAGGAATTTGATTTTTATGCAGTAGCTGCCAAGACTACTGATACCAGAATATACTAAGTAGTTTACAATTAGGGAGTACTAAAAGGAGTAAGATAATTATATGTTTTTATAATAAATAGCTTGAAAGAGTTATTTCGTTGACTCATCATAAGAAAGAAGTCCTTTCTGTTGCATTTGATTAGAGCAGCAAATATTGTGTCACGACTGCAAAAGATTAACAACTTATAGTCTATAGTATTGATGAATACTATAAACAAGCTAAGGTTATCCTAAGCTAGCAAATTACTTCATTAGATGATCTCACTCTATCAACTGTGAGTGTAGTTACCACCTCTAAGAATATTACACATCTGTTTTTGGCAATAGCTAATGGCTAAAATACAGAGGTGTTCCATGGTGTAGTTGTGCATGATATGAAGCCAGTACAAAGCATTTTGAGAATAAATGATGCTCAGCTTGATAATATTTCGCAAATTCAATTCTTCTATGATATCTAGCAAGAGGAGATATTCTTGATTACTAGTGCTAGATAAGATTTCAGATTAAATATCTGGAAAATGCCCAACGTTCTCTGATTAATTAAAATCAATAAATAGACAATATTCCTTATCTTTTATGGGGTTTTGGGGTTTTGGGG